AAAGAGACTTGGCTTCTGAAAAGTAGAAAATGTGTAGTTTGTGTAAAGTCAGACTCATATTTACTAGTAAGTATTCCCAATTCACACTTTGCTAGTGCTCTTGAAGGGCTGGCTCTAGAGGAAAAATTTGTCAAAATTTGTCACAAGTACCCTTCCTGTGGCCAACAGGAAGGCTTTCTCAGCTAGCTGTGTATTACCCACCCAGGAGAATATGTATTTTCAGGCCTTTTTCTAAGGTGAAGACATTTCAGAATCCACAGGAATAGATTTCTAATGACTGAACCAAGGCATCATTGATAGGTGGCAGGTGATGGGGGGTGGAAGGTGGAGAGAAGAGATATTTTGGGGTGATGGAACTGCCCAGCATCTACTCAGATCACACTGGGGGCAGCCACCTGATCATCAAGCTGGACAAGCAGTCTCTTACCCACAAGCTCTTGCTTCTTCTCTTTCTGATGTCCCTAGTTAGGGTTCTCAGGAACGAGCAGGTTCCATAAGAAATGAGGCTACCTGCACAGAACTCAGGACACCTTTTTACTGAAAGCAGGTACCTCTTAGGGGACTACAGTACATAGTACCAGATACTAGGAGACCCAACTTGGTCAGGGATGTTTGATAGATTATGCAATATCTGTGGTCAGGCTTAGCACTTCTGCCACAAGAATCAAATACCAGAGCTAAACTGGTTCCTGGGACTTCCACTTAAAGCAATGCTGGGGAGAAAGATGTTTCATGTTGGGTGCAAAGGACAAGACCATGCCCTTTTCCTGATGCCACATGACCTTCATATTTTATCTGTCTTGCCTACATCCTTGTGTACACAGCAAACAAGTTCTTTTCCCTGCTATGCTACTTTGATGTCTATCAGAATGGTGCTTGGAGATGGAATATCCCAAAGGGAGCTTGCCATGCATGTTGACCTTGAAAGGTACTCCAGGCTTCAGATTGGTTGGGGATGTGGCACAAACCGACTTGCTCTTTCAGAGATAAGTACACTGCTCCTGGTGAAGGTGTCCCCTGAGATGGACCAGAGGCAGAATTCTACCCATGTGGGTAGAAACCACTTAACCAGGGCCATCCTCCCTTTTGATACCTTATTTGTCTTACCTTCTCCTCTTAGATCCTTCTGGAGTAGATTCCTTGGTCTCTGAAGTGGTTTTGTATTTCTACCGAAATATACAAGTCTGGGTGTCTCCTACCACTGAGGTAATATTTTTACAAGTGATTTACAAGTGATAAGTTACTGGGCCATGGGCTATATCACTTTTCCTTCTCCCATCATACTGGGGCTGAGGTGGGGGTAGGGGAAGCTATTTTGTGACAAGACATCTTGTGATGGAGCCATCTGGTATACCTAGCCATGGGCTATATCACTTTTCCTTCTCCCATCATACTGGGGCTGAGGTGGGGGTAGGGGAAACTATTTTGTGACAAGACATCTTGTGATGGAGCCATCTGGTATACCTGGGAAAGATGCAAGGAGCCAATAAAAAAACACAGAATAAAATTAAACAAATAAAACCCGCAAAACCGGGCATCTCCCAATGACCCCAACATGTGGGTATGTTTTGTTCTTTTTAATGCACCCGAGCATTAATTTAGTCCTGTAAGGATTTTTCTTCCCCAAACGAAAAACTTTCTGGAAAAGGGAGATAAAGCCATGGAGACAACACAGTGCTGGCATCACCTCTTATAAATATCTTCTAGCCACTTTTCATCATCTTGTTCCTCGTCATCCATCGGCTCCTCGGTTTTCAGTGGAGTTGGAATAAAGAATTGTGGCCTCAGAGGGGGCTTGCTGACGTGAGACTTCAGTCCAAACTTGCGCTTCAGCAGGTGGAACTGCTCTTTGACGTAGTGGTAGAATGCGTACTCGTATCTCATGCGCTGGTAGAGAATCTGCACGGCCTCAGGAGAGGGGACAGTCTTCTTTACGGTCACAGTCATGTTTCCAAGTTTCCTATGCTCTGGAAAAGAATCATGTGCAATGCTTTAGCTTAGAAGGAATAATGGTGAAGACCTGACTTACCTGCATAATACTGGAAGCACCTAGAGAAAGAAACTAAACATCCAAGTAATAGAAGGGAGAAAAGGGTTCCTGACAATATTTGGAAAGATTTCCCCATATTCTAGGTGTTAATGACATTAGTTAACTAAACACAAACTATCTGATTTCCTTTTCATGGAATGTGAACCGTGCAATTGGATCACCATCCAATTGTTAACTGTAAGTTACGCATTCTTTTGAACAGCAAAGTCAACCCATTTTTCCTCCTTCATTTCCTACTACGTGAGTAGAGGGCTTACCTTCAGAAGGAGGCAGATAAGAGCCGTCTTGCTACTTTCTAACAATCTTGGCTTTTAAAAAAAATTTAAAATATTGACATAAAATTTCATTTGGTACAAAATGCATTTGCATTTAAACTATGCTATCTACCCTAAGTGAATCATTGTGCAGTGTATGCATGTATTGAAACAACACACTGTACCCCACAAATATGTACAAGTAAATGTTAAAATACCATTAAAACAAACATACAAAAAAACAGTGCATTTGTCCAGAAAAGTAAAGAAATGACTGTTAGATTTCTTAAATATAACATTAACTGTTGTAAATTTTTTCCACTTATTAATTCTTATCTGTTTGTCACATATATAAAATGCAATATAATTTCCCTCTACCTCTCTTATTTACAAGCTCTCTAGCATCACGAATACTGATTATATATTTATTAGCTATAATATAAATTATCCTTGGAGTGCAAACAATTACTTTCTCCTCCTTCATTTCCTACTACGTGAGTAGAGGGCTTACCTTCAGAAGGAGGCAGATAAGAGCTGTCTTGCTACTTTCTAACAACCTTGGCTTTTAAAAAAAATTTAAAATATTGACATAAAATTTCATTTGGTACAAAATTCATTTGCATTTAAACTATGCTATCTACCCTAAGTGAATCATTGTGCAGTGTATGCATGTATTGAAACAACACACTGTACCCCACAAATATGTACAAGTAAATGTTAAAATACCATTAAAACAAACATACAAAAAAACAGTGCATCTGTCCAGAAAAGTAAAGAAATGACTGTTAGATTTCCTAAATATAACATTAACTGTTGTAAATTTTTTCCACTAATTAATTCTTATCTGTTTGTCACATATATAAAATGCAATATAATTTCCCTCTACCTCTCTTATTTACAAGCTCTCTAGCATCACAAATACTGATTATATATTTATTACCTATAATATAAATTATCCTTGGAATGCAAACAATTACTTTTTTCTGATTAGATATTAATAATCATGTCTTTTTAAACCAGCGTAGTTAGCTTATCATACTTTACCTGCTGTAAATTTTAAATGGTTTTTAAAATTGTGGTAAAATATATATAACTAAAATCTGTTTAGTTTTATATTAATTTTGTAGTTCTGCTTAACACAACATATTATATATTTTATATTTAATGCCTAATAACATACAAATGTCTCATATAAAACATAAAATTTTAACTATTTTAAAGTGGCATTAATTACATTCCCAATGTTGTGCAACCATCATCAGTATTTCCAAAATCCTTTCATCAATCCAAACGACTCTGTATCCATTAAGCAGTAACTCCCTGGTCCCCTTCCTCTTGGT